CCCCCCACACACACACACCCTGCGAACTGTCACTGGTGGGTTTTCTTTCCTAGTCTCTTCTATGGGATTTTGCACCAGAACCCTTACAGGCGCCTCCTGTGTCCGAGGGAAGCTCGCTCACGGCTCGAGTAGGGCTTCCCTGTGGTCTCACACTGCGCCAGTCCAGGCGCGCTGGCGTTCTTGGCAGGCGGCGGGGGGCAGCTCTGCCTGGAGAGTTTTAGGTTACCCGCTAGCCACACAAGGACCTTGTGTTGTTGTTGTTTTAAAAAGCGATCGCTGCTCGTAAAACCCACAGCAGATAATTTTAATGCTCTCTCCTGCCGGCACAGCCCTGGAGGAGGGGCAGGGGTGGGGGGCTGTGGAGAGGTTGCGAAGAGCTGCGCTGTGTTCAAGGGTCTCTTCCCCTGGTTTCAGCGCCCAGAGGTTGAATTACTTGTTGAACCTTGGTCCGATTGGAGTTTCTGAACGACACGAAACGTGCCAATTCTGTGCACAGGACAGGCTGTCCAGGGCATTGTAAAATCTCCTGGAACCGACAGCATTGTGTTCATTTCTGGTCTAGATTATTGCTCTCCCTACCCCCTCCAATTGGTCTAATAAAGAATTTCACTGCCGTAAGAAATGTACTATTAAACCACCTAGTGGTTCGTTTGGCCAAACAATCCAGGCAATCTCTGGCCAAGCATCGGTTTTGGTCAAGGCAGTTGCCTTTTGGGATAGCCGCTTACCTCCCAGTGCAGCTGGGAGTCCCAACCGTGAAGGTGGCTCAGGATCTTTGTGAAAACAAGATTGGCTACTTAGCCAACTTATGCCTTTCCTGGGTAGTCTTCAGCCCTGTTTCCCGGATGACTAGTCCCATTACCACCTGTTCACATTGCAGCTTCTTTATTCATAGCTTTTTCTATATGAGAATCATCTTTATAGCTGTCGTGTGTGGAGGGAAAGCTTTGTAAAGCCGGACAAGCCTTAATGACTGCCCATATGCTGGCCGATTACATCTGAGCCCAGCTATCACTGTGAGATCAGATTTGCAGCCACTTAGGAAAGAAAAGTGTTTGTCCCCGTGTTGGGCTGGCCCTTGCTTTTATGACCAGATGTGCAACAGCAGCAGTTAAAGTGCGGCAGATTAGATCCAGGGCGTGTCATAAATCCTCGACAGCAGGCATTCCCAAAGCTGGGGCAAGTCAGGGCTCTGGGAGTGACTTTTATGGATGCAGATGAGGATGCCTTTTAAATGAAGCTGCTTGGTTTGATATTAGGACTTGAAGCTCTTTAAACTCTGAGGTCAGGCGATCCACAGCGTTCCTTCCAATAATTAGGAACAGTCAAGACAGAGATGCAGACCAGAGCACCCCTACTGAAATCTGGATGCCCGCCCACAGGAGGGTCGAAAGGAGAGAGGCCCTCAGACAAATGGTGGGGGGCTCATTTGCTGCTGGGCATGTCTAACGTCTCAAGCCATATGGCTCTCCTTCCCTGCCTCCTGAAATTGGAGGAAGCAACATTTAGGGGAAAGCTAGGGACTTTGGGGGAAAGCAGAGATTTTGGTTAAGGTTTCCCTCCAACTTCTTTAGCTTATTAATTTGCTAGAAGTGATGGAACACAGTAGGAACAGCTCTTTTCCTTGTTCTCTTTTCCCATTCTTTCTCTTAAACACACACGCCCATGTGCACAGAGGAACATGTACACTTAATGGTTAGAAAGTTCCAAGAGAAAACTGGCATCTTTACTATATGGTTATCTTGTTGCACTATAGGCAACAATAGGTACTACGATCTATGAGTTTTATGAACTTTTGGGCTGGGCACTTCACATGATTTCTGATCCTGAGAACAAATGAGAAGGTGGGTGTTTTTCATGCCATTTTGCAGAAGAGGAAGCTAGACTCATGGAGACTAACCTGTGCTTGAACTACTCATGGTGCATAAATATGCCGCTGGGAGCCAAAGCCCAGCTCATATGGATTTAAAGGTTGTATGCTTTCCACACCATCCAGAAGCTGCAGGGAGTTTTCATCCAACCAGGGATGCCATTCCTGTTAAAGGGACAGAGGGCTCAGTGAGAAAATTCTGAACCCAGAGGCATCAGGAAATTCTGCAGAGAAAGTGTTAACAATGTTTTTAAGTGTCTGTATTGATAAAGGCTTATGTTTGAACTTCAACCTATTCCAGAAGACTCCGGCTTCTTGGTGGCCCCACAAGTGTGGCTCTGGTTGAGATCGGTGGCGTCATAGGAAGAGCAGAAACATCTGGCTTGTTGCAGAATTCCCTTTGGGCACCCCTAGGTCTCTTCTGTTAATCTTTTGAGTGACAGAGGCTTAAGGATTGGCATCTTTTCCAGCTGGCTTTCTAGGAAACTGAGAACATGCCCTTTCAGTTTAACTTTATCTGGCTCACTAATTGAGCTCCCCTGAGGCCTAGACCCCAATCCTTGCCCCCTTATTTGCTTCCTGCCTTCCTTCATAAAATTCTGACATTTGTTTGACTCTGGAAACCAGCAGCTATCAAGTATCAGATTGGAGGTTATTATGTAGGAAGCACCCGATTTTTGGGTCTCTCAGCTCTGAGCAACCGCCTGCCTACCTGGGATGCTGGTCAGGATTCTTTTAATTACGCTGCAGGCAGTTATTTCTTTAATCCTGCACAATTTACCGAAAATGTTTTGGGGAGGGGAAGGGCTCCCCCAGGCTGATGGAAGTCTGTTTGATGGGCAGACCGAGTCAACTGCTTTGTTTAATCCTCTGTCTGCCCTTAAAGACAGGGAGCCAGGTGAGGGCAGGGACTGAGACCATCTTGTCCGTGCTTATATTCCCAGAGTTTAGCACAGGACCAGGCGCATGTTGTTGCTGTTTGTGGGTGGGACAAACAAATAAATGTAGACAATGCACATTTAACAGTGATCCACAGGTTCCCTGTTTTTGGTGTTTTAGCATGACCAGAGGCAGGAAATAGATTTTGGGAATTTGAGAAACAGGAGAAAACCAGAAAGTCAAGATGTCTGAATCTTAATTGTTTTAGGCATATTCTTTATTCTCTTTTCCTCTTGATTACTTGATTCATCCTTCAAACTCAGCTCCAACATCACTACCTAAGAATTTTTCTGCAGCTCCTAACTTTTGGTTGGAATCAATCACTGTCAGCTTTGAACAGCTTCTGTGCCTGGACTTCTACTAATCTTTCTGTAATGAACATCTTAATATCAGGCTAGGATCACTGTAGAGTCCAATTCATTTCTATAAATATTGACAGAATGTGAGGAGCATACCGATGAATAAGATCTCTACTCTGCTTGCAAGTTGTCTCATTTAACAAGGCAAGATCATGCATGAAGAACCAAAGGGGGGACTCAGTGTGGAGTAGATGTATTTGCCAAAAGTGAAGCAGCTTGTAGACTTTTCTTTTCCATTGGACTAGTCTGAACCAATGTCCGGACCAGGGTGGGTCCTTGTTCTGGCTAGATGCTCTTCCTATTATCTGTGCTCATCAAGAACTCTTCTTTTGCTGGTGCAGGGGTGCATGCCTGTAATCCCAGCAACCGGGGAGGCTGAGACAGGAGGATTACAAGTTTGAGGCCAGCTTGGCAACAAAGCGAGATCCTCAGCAACTTAGCAAGAACTTGTCTCAGAATGCAAAAAAATAAAAAGGGGCTGGTAAATAAAAAGGTCAGTAGTAAAGGTAGAGCACCTCTGGGTTCAGTCCCTGATACCAAACAAAAACAGAAACAAAAACCCCAAAACAACCGATAAAAACAAAACCAAAAAAAAAAAAAAAAAAAAAAAACTTGTCCATGTGGAGGGATTTAGCTGAGATGCTGCTCAGGTGTTAGGCTGAGAACATGACTTAAACATTTTTGTAAAGCTGACATGAAATTTCAAGAAACAGAATCAAAGAGGCACCAGGGTGGTGGCACATTCCTTTAATTCCAGGGGCTTGAGGCTGAGGCAGAAAGATAACAAGTTCAAAGCCAGCCTCAGCAACTTAGCTGAGGCAAATCAGCAAGACCTGCCTCTACATAAAATTCAAAAAAGGGCTGTAGATGTGTCTCAATGGTTAAGCACCCYTGGGTTCAATCCCCAGTACAAAAATCAGAAACAAAAACAAAACAAAAACAAAAAACAAAAAAACCCCAAACCCTAATAACAATAACAACAACAAAAAAAACAAAACCAAAAAACAATCAAAGAAGCAATGAAGAGGAAACAGTCACCTAAGAATCTCTAGGAAATACAATCAAAATGGAAACCTTTTCCCCCATAATTTTTTTATTGGTGCATTAGAGTTGTACATAATGGTGGGATTCCTTGTTAAGTATTTGTATTTGCACAAAATATTTTGGCTGGTATCATTCCAAGTATTTTCCCTTTCTTCTTCCCTCCCTCTGGGTCCCTTTCCTCTAGTACTGATATCCCTTTGATTTTCATGAGACACTCCCCCTGCCCTAACTTTCTGGAAAAGTTTTCAGTATATCAGCCCATCATCTCATGAAGTTGAATATTCACATTCCTCATGGCCCAGCAATTGCACTCCTAGGTATCTACGCCCAAGAAACTGTCCTGCAGCCTGGAAAGAGCCCAGATGCCCATCCGTGGGAGGGCGGATAAATAACTGATGAATTTACACAGTGGAAAGTTACACTCGGCCCAAGTGAACAACAGGGACATGTAAAATTGGAAACGAATACAATAGCAAATGAAAGAAA